TATTGGTTCTAATGTTTCTAATAGTTTCATAAATCTAGTGTATAATGGCGAAAAACTCTAAAATATTTTTTTTTAATATAAAAAATCGTTGCTAGGGGTGTTGCTTAGGAAAAATTATAACTTTGTTATAATTTTTATTTATTTGAAATATAAATTATTATAATGATTTGTATATGTTCAGAATGTAGAATGTTTGAAATTTCAGAATTTGTAACTTTTGAAAAATTAATTTTTTCGATTTTTTCTAGTATAGGACCACTTAAATATTTTATAAATAATGAGACAATACCGACGCCTTTAGGCATTGTTCCGTGGTGGTGTGTCGGCGTTGTCAGAAGTTGAAACAGTCGAGGTTAGAAATATTTTAAGTGAAACACACACTTGGGAAAATATTGAATGCAGTCTCTTTGCATAAACTTTGTTTAGAAGTTTATCAGACTTTTCTCTGGCTTGAATGTTCCTTCTGAAGAAAAAAAAAATGACGAACTTCCTCAGAAAATTTATTTTTACGGGGTAAAAGATTAATCAGTTTTTAAACGTCTGTTAGAGACTTTTGTGAAGATTAAATGAAAGAAAACTTAACATTCCTCTTCAATTTTGTTCTCATTTAACTATTAAGACTGTTCGGAGCAACACTGAATACAAAGCTTTAGTATGCTTCTTTGTAGTTGTACCGCCCAGTTTTATCATATCAATTTTATCATTTTTGTATACACTCTTTTCTCAAAAAACATGATTTCATTGAATTGCAAGTTTTGAAAACTTCTGTTACCTTTAAAATCAATTAATTAGTTTAGTTAAATCAGGTCTTATGACAAACGGGTACAATTAAGATCCATCAAAAGTTATTTAGAAACTTCATTTATTGAGTGGATTGAAGAAAAAGACTCACGTCGTTAACTGCCTGCAGACAATAACCACAAAGTAGTAACAAACTCAAAGGAATTCATTCACTTCATTAGATAATGCACATTTTTTTCTTTTTTTTTTTTTTTTTTGTTATTTAGGTGCCCCAAGAAGGCCTAACATTCTTGTCACAGAGCACCACGGAAGTGCTTTTATCTAGGAAGTTCACGCCTCCTTCCGTGACGGGAAAATATGTCCGTTTCGAACCTGGATCTCCTTCTTATAAAGCAAGCGCTATAACCACTGCACCACGGCCGCACGTCGTGCAAAATATTTTTGAATGAATGCATTATACTCAAGACTATTAAACAAACGTGTCTTAAATAAACTATGACAGACATCAACATATATGACTTTATTATTGAACAAATATTGAATAATATTTATTCATTATTATTCAAAAAAGCACCAACAAGTATATTTGTTACACAATAAATGCATAGCAATAATTGAATCATAGAGTTGCAATTTCATTTAATCGCAAAGTATCTAGTAAAAAAATTATTTAGTGAAACAATTTACTGCCACTGATAAAATCACTAAAACTATTAAATTGTGGCATATATGAATTTGAATACCTTATTGGCATTACTATATTTTGTAAAAAGATAACTATTTTAATGAGAATACAAGGAAAAAATTCAATTATTATTTGTCTTATCTGACTTTCATGTTTGAGGCTGGTGGGCAAAAATTTCAAGACTTTTTTTGTTCCCAGGTTAAATTCATTGCAAACTTTTTCAAAACATATTAATTTACGTAAGTATAAACATAAACATTCTTGAATGTATGTATGTATTTATGTATGTATGTATGTATGTATGTATGTATGTATGTATGTATGTATGTATGTATGTATGTATGTATGTATGTATGTATGTATGTATGTATGTATGTATGTATGTATGTATGTATGTATGTATGTATGTATGTATGTATGTATGTATGTATGTATGTATGTATGTATGTATGCATGTTTGTATGTATGTATTTAGGGGAAAGACGCCCTGAAGCTTCATTAATCAGTATCCTGAAGACCAATAATGAAAATTTTGATATGGGTGCATTCCTTGTTACATGTAGAGCAATAATAACCCTCGGAATTTTTATCAGTTTTGTTATTTTTACAAGTTATTCCTATTTAAAAAAAAAGCACAAGTATACCATCATAGGCAACTACTGCTCCTATGATGGCATAGGGGAGGATGGGGCTGATTAGGATCAAGGGTAATTTGATAATTTCCTTTAACCTTAGAGCCTTCCCTCAGAAAAGCTAGAAATTACTCGGAACCATTCTAATTTGCCATTTCATGCTACACAGCAGCATTGTAAAGTTTTGCGCATGCACATAGGATTTATTGCGTTTTATGACCATCATAGGCGCCTTTCCCCTATGTATGTATGTATGTATGTATGTATGTATGTATGTATGTATGTATGTATGTATGTATGTATGTATGTATGTATGTATGTATGTATGTATGTATGTATGTATGTATGTATGTATGTATGTATGTATGTATGTATGTATGTATGTATGTATGTATGTATGTATGTATGTATGTATGTATGTATGCATGTATGTATGTTTATATATATATGTATCTAAAAAAATGTGCCATGTTAAAAATAGTCTTATGGAGTTCTCTGACAGTGGCGGGCTGGCTAAATATATTTTACCGGCTAGGCAAATAATTTAGGAACCCTCCAAACATACACATATTGCCTAGACAGCCTGGTCTACAACTTTCTAAAAAATGAGCCGTAATAAGGAGACTGAAATCACAAACTAATCAATTTATAATTAATTAGAAAAGGAAAGAGTGTTGTGCAAAGTATATCAATACCTAAAGCAGTTTTCTCAATTCAGATGGCAAATATCTTTGAATGATTGTATAATACTCAAGACTCTTGAATAAACTTGTCTTAAATAAACTGTGACAGACATCAACATATATGGCTTCAAGTGGTTATTCAATAAAATTTTATGATTAAGTTAAACTTTTCCAATCTTTTAGGCTAACTTGTGTTACAGAAATAGTGCAGATAGATTTATAAAAGTGATTTAAATTGTCATAACTTTGTTAATAAGTATAAATACATTCTTACTTTTTTAAAAATTCGCAGATAGGTAAAACTAGTTAAAATTGTGTCTAGTTTAAGGAATGGCATGAGCAATTTCGCAGCTTCATAATACGTCTTTACATCAAAGTTATCGGCTTCACTTATAGAAAAAAAGACATGATATCAAATTAATAAGCGTTGTCGAAAAATGATTTCTCTAATGTTCCAAATATTGCAGTTGCAGCATTTGACTTACCCGACCACCCTGTTTCTCCAATCAACTTCAATATTTTTATCTTTTCCATTCCAATTTTTGTTTCAAATCATTATTCAAATCAAATTTAAATCATGTAGCCAATTGCTTATATGACATATTTATAAATGATACAAAATTTTTAGAAAGGTTGAAAATGAAACCGCCTAAATGCAGCCACTGGTTGCCTTTTTCATAACTAAGTTGAGAACATGACTATATCAAAAACGTACATTGTAATCTGTAGCTTCAGTAATCTTTTGTTGTAGTCCATTGTACTGACCATGATAGCTCGAAGCACTATCTATGCTGTTTGATAGGCAAAATTATAAATCAAAACCAAGCCATTGTAACATCCCATTATAGAGATCAAATATTCTTAGGCCAGTACATCAGTATTTCTAATGTAAAAAACAAAACTAAAGAAATTCTATGTTTCTTTTCAATATTTCTCTACTGCTCTTTAATTCTATAATAAAACCTTTGTTACCTTAAAATATAGAAACACTTTCTTCGATATTCTTCAACAACGTTAAAATATTAGAAATTTTATTACAATCGATTTCTCTAAGAAGGTTTTTGTTACATTCCTAAAATTTTAACGTTATGAAAAATAAAAAATATAAATTATATATATGTAAATTTTATCAAGATTATCTTGCTAATAAATATGCTTTATACCTATAAAAACTTTATCAATTGTGTGTGTTTGTGCGTGTGTGTGTGTGTTTGTGTGTGTGTGTGTGTGTGTGTGTGTGTGTGTGTGTGTGTGTGTGTGTGTGTGTGTGCATATGGAGGAGAAGGGAGAACAATTATTCCTTTTACTTATTTTTGTATCAAAAACTAGGTTTTTACGGTTAATTTTTAAATATAATTAGAATCTAAATGTACTAACAAGATAATCACTAACAAAATATTGGAGATGCTTAACTTAATTAGTACCTAATGACAAAATAATAGTAAAATAAGTCTTCAGTATATTGCTTATAAATCTTCAAAGTTAGTTATAAACTCATTAATAAAAACCGTCCTTTTTAGAGCTATAGAATGGTTATATAACAAAACTTTAGCCTTAGCTATTCGCTTATTGAGACCGTGAGCTTTTTGGCATTAAATCAGTTTGTTTAACTCTTTAAAATACTATTCTCGGAAGAACGTGTATTTCAGGCACCCCCTCCCCCCTTTAGTAAGTCAGTTAAAAAAAGAGTCACATTTTGCGAAAAACAGTTATTGAAAACAATATTCTAATCCTGGACCTAACCATAAAGTTTATTTTATTGCAAACTATACCCTGATGTCTTTTTTTTTTTGAAAGATTTCTTCAACAATGGCCATAAGAATGACTTCTTCTACAAACGCCTTATAATAACAGACAAAATTAGATTATAAAGTTATATTGCGTGACGTCATTTGCGAACAATAAAATGAAAAGATCTTATTTGAGTACTTAAAACAAGAAGCACTCTCCTGGATAACGTTTCGAAATCATTACATCAAAAACTTTTAATTATAAAAAATGCCTATAAACTAGCAAAATATTATTACCCATATTATTTATATATATTACCAGTATTATTACCCAAATTTAAAAGATTAAACTTTTTTTACTAAAATCTAATTTATTTCTGCCTTGAAACAATCTAAAACACATAAACTGTAAACTTTGTTAGTTATTGATCTTTTATAATATAAAAGAATATAATATAAATTATATTATTAATAATAAGTATATAATAATATTATATGCTTATACTATACTATACTAAATAATAATTATAAAATAATGTTATTTACTTATAATATATTATACTTATACTATACTAAATAATAACTATATAAATTATATTATTATAATATATTTTTTATAATATATTTTTATGAATAAATACTAATATTATTAGTATTTATTCATAAAAATATATTATAAACAAAAGAAAATTATATATTATATACAAGTAATAAGTTATTATTGTTTATAATATATTTTTTTGAATAAATACTATTAGTATTTATTAAATACTAATATTATTAGTATTTATTCATAAAAATATATTATAAACAATAATAAATTGTATATTATATACAAGTAATAAGTTATTAATGTTTATATTATATTTTATATTAGTAATATAAAATATATGCATACCTGTCATCATATTTACTATATGCATACCTTTCAAGAATCCCCCATTTGGCAGGAGTCTCCCAAATTTTAAAGAGGAATTTATCTCCCACATTAAAATTAAACATTTAAAAAACTCCCTCTTGTTACAAGTTTCAAAGTGACTATTTTTCTACTTTCTAAATTTGTAAAGTTACTTTTGGTCTCAAAGACTAGAAATGTAAGATAGAAAAAAAATTGACTCTTCTAAATATGCTAGTTCTAATTTCTAGGCTTATTTCTTCATGCAACATCGTCATTGCTCACATACTTAAATTTTTTTTCTACAACAAAGTGATTTATTTATTTGTTGTATGATACCTTATTTGACACATCTGTAATTTTACTAAGTAGATTTATGTTATCACAGATTGATAAGCAATACAAAAATTTAGAGGTGAAAAATGAGCAAATCGTATTTTTAATTCAAGACAAATTATGTTTTTTTTGTCTATATAACATTAATTTCCATTCTTACTAAAATTCAACTAGAAATATATGCATACCTGTCATCATATTTACTATATGCATACCTTTCAAGAATCCCCCATTTGGCAGGAGTCTCCCAAATTTTAAAGAGGAATTTATCTCCCACATTAAAATTAAACATTTAAAAAACTCCCTCTTGTTACAAGTTTCAAAGTGACTATTTTTCTACTTTCTAAATTTGTAAAGTTACTTTTGGTCTCAAAGACTAGAAATGTAAGATAGAAAAAAAATTGACTCTTCTAAATATGCTAGTTCTAATTTCTAGGCTTATTTCTTCATGCAACATCGTCATTGCTCACATACTTAAATTTTTTTTCTACAACAAAGTGATTTATTTATTTGTTGTATGATACCTTATTTGACACATCTGTAATTTTACTAAGTAGATTTATGTTATCACAGATTGATAAGCAATACAAAAATTTAGAGGTGAAAAATGAGCAAATCGTATTTTTAATTCAAGACAAATTATGTTTTTTTTGTCTATATAACATTAATTTCCATTCTTACTAAAATTCAACTAGAAATTTGTCAGATAAAATGAAAAAGATTAGATTTTTATATGAAGAGCAATCGACAATGGGAGGTTCTCAAGCATGTCTATAAAAATTCTATAAAACTCTTTTTATAATTAGTTACAGTAGAGAATATTGAAAATTATTATTTGTCTGAAGGATGAAAATGGAGAAGTTCTTTCTGACAAAGAAAATATGATGATGGAAATTTATTGCAAATAAATAATAACTGATAATATTTCAAATAATTTCTTATATAAATGTCTCAGTCAAATTTTGAGGATCTTTTTTTTTTTTTTTTGATTAGCAAAGATATATAGTGGGTAAATATTTTGTGGACGGAAAGTATAACTAAGTCTCTCTCATACCAATTTTCGAAAGTTGACAGCTATGCATATGACTGTTATTATGAATATCCTATAACATTCATATGTCTACTATAATTTATATTGCTATTATAAATATAATTTAGTTTTAGCAATAATAAATGTATTGTAATTTTAGTAAAATTTTCGTATGGCAAATACAATAAATAGGCACAATGAGGTTTGTTTAAACTAAAAAAATATATATTTTTTTCATATTATATACCTATATTTATTATTTTTAAAATTACTGTTTATAAGTTGTTAGTTTTGAAATTGATAATGAACTGCATAGTTGTGTTTTTCTGTTAGGTACAAAGTTGGTTAGAGTCACTTTTTGGCAAAGAAACCATACCTAAATATGAAGTTAATGACTATACAATATCTTTTCTTTACTCTCTTTACATTCAAAATAAAGAAATAAATCGACTAACAAATCTTACAATTGAAGATTTAAAGCAAAGGACAGAAGAATATAAAATAGAAGGTGAATATTTTTCGATGCATATTACAATATATAAGTATATACAGGCCTTGGTGAGTGTTTTAGCTCTCTCCCACACTCCCCTAAAGCGGTCCATGGGAGTAATTTACGGCTCTCACAAAGTTATAATTTTTTCTCTCAAAAGTATAATTATCATTGTAAGTAAAATGAAAAACACAAAGTCATTAAAAAAAAAATTTATTGCATAATAAACTGCAGTGCCTTTTTTTAGATTTAAAAAAGAACACTAATTTAAATACAAATATTTTTCATTAGATTGTACTTAATAAACTTGAACTTATTACACTCTAAATTATATTGATAAAAAATTATTAACTCTAAATTTTTGTATAATAATTTTTATTTTATAAAATGAATTATATATTTTATATATTAATTACTCTAATATTTTATTCATATTTATTGCAGAGTTTTTAATTGTTGTAATAATTTTTAAAATGCCTGCATTCAACTACAATTAGAAAATATGAAACATTTTTTATAACCATTAAAAACTTGTATAGCTTTTTGTCAAAATTTTTATCAAATAATGTTGTTAACAAATAAATGGATAGCTAGTATGAAACTTAAAGACAATGCTTGTCTAAAGAATTTTTTCATGGCACAGTAAATGCTGCTTGTTATGTATATATTCTTGTAACATTGGCATAACAAACATATGCTTGTAACAAGTATAAAATTTTTTAAATGAATAAATAAATAGCTTGTTCAAAATGCTCTCATCTTATGCTCTCATAAGAAGCTGTTTAGCAGCTCACATGGCTTGCCTTTTTTTTTTAAGAGAGTTTTACTCCGTTCTTTCTCATTCTTGTTGGCTTATATATATATATATATATATATATATATATATATATATATATATATATATATATATATATATATATATATATATATATATATGTAAATTTAGAGATAGGGTCTCGATAAAAATACTCATCTTGGGCAGATGTTAAATGCATCCGACTGCTGTCTTGTAGAAGGCCTCCTAGGCAAAGACTTGAGGGGTAAACAGATTCTATCTGTTGACCAGCCTCGCACCCCTTCTTCATCTATTAGGATGGTGCAGATGTATTTTTAATACATTGTTTCCAGTTTAGAATGTTAAATGCTGGATCTTCTTGTCTCGATGCATGGGTTTTGCTTGTGTCTCTGCTTTTATGATAAGGCAACTCATTCTATTATCTCCAAATGAGGGTACAGTTCTAAAACTCAGTTTTATGGTTCTGAGTCTGGCTGGTAGTCAGGTTTCCCGAACTCTGTGGTAGCTCACAGAGAGGCTGATTCCATCAACAGTTGAAAAATATCAGAGTACTAACAGTGCCATGTTGCACATGGATGGTGTACCTGTTTGTACTTTTGGTGTGCATTGCCAAGGCCACATTGGAGCCCTTTGTTATGGCTTAGGGTTTGTTAGTGGAAATGAGGCAATTGCTTGGGCTATAAAACAGTGTACTGAATACTATCTATGTTTCGAGTCAAGTTCTTTAACAAATTTAAAAATGAATAAAGTAACAAAAACTATAAAACACAAAAAACCACAGTCATCACCAAGTTCGCTAAACCTATCATTCACCAATATTCGTGGTCTTCAAAGTAACTTTTCTTCTGTTGAGTCTTATCTCTTGCAAAGTTCACCAGACCTACTTGCTCTTTGTGAGACTAATTTGAGTTCAGCTGTCTCATCTTGTGAACTTAGTGTTGATGGTTCCTTTAATTTGTGTTAATTCTTCCTTTAATTCGTAAAGACTCCAATAGTCACATGCTTGGCCTAGGCATTTACATTCGTAAGAATTCACTCATTTGTCGGGAAACTAGGTTTGAATCCACAGACTACTCTTTTATGTGCTTTCGTTTAGCACCACTTCACTCTATCACCTTTCTCTTTGTTCTATATCGCTCCCCTTCATCTCAAGACTGCACTCTTCTTGATGTTATTTCTGATTATATTGACCAAGCCCTCATTCTTTATCCATCAGCCAATATTGTTGTTGTCGGTGACTTTTTTGTTCGTCACACTGAATGGCTTGGCTCTAGTGTCAGTGACTCTGCAGGCATTAAGGCTCACAACTTTTGTCTTTCTCAATCCCTAACTCAAATAGTCAACTTTCCAACTCGCTTTCCAGACAACCTGAATCATTTACCTTTTTTACTCGACTTGTTTCTGATCCTAGTCAGTGCTCAGTTTCTTCACACTCACCTTTAGGTGCTTCTGTTCATGGTTTGGTCTCTCTAAAACTATTATCTTATTCTTCTTTACCATCAGAATCCCCTATCATTGTACATCTTACAACTACCTTAAAGCTGACTGGGACTCTTTTCGTGACTTTCTTCGTGATGGCCCCTGGGTAGAAATCTTTCGTCTCCCTGTTGACATAACTTCGTGCTTCTTACATAACTTCGTAGATTCAGGCTGGCATGGAATCCTTTATTCCCTCTTGACGATTCCAGGTCAAGCCTCACTCTTCTCCATGGTTTTCCTCACATTGTGCTGCTGCAGTTGCCAATCGAAACCATTACTTCCATATCTATCAGCAAATCAATTCTCCAGAAAACAGACGTCTGTTTATTACTGCTAGGAACCATTGTAAAAAGGTTTTGTCTAACGCCAAAGCCCGCTATTCTCAGACCATGAAATCTCGTATCTTATCACAAAATACGAGATTTCATGGTCTCTCGTAACTTCTGGAGAATCTTTAATATAATCAATAATAAGGGCAAGTCTTTAATTCCACCTCTTTTGTATGGTTCAGACTTTCTCACCTCACCTAAAGACAAAGCTGAATTGTTTGCCAAGAACTTTTCATCAATATCATCTCTTGATTCCACTAGTTGCGTTCTACCTGATATAGCTGTCAAACAGGTTGATCCATTGCTCGACATCCGTATCGCTACAGCATCTGTATCTAATGTGATTTCCTGCTTAGACTCTTCTACAGCTTGCGGCCCGGATAACATACCCGTTATAGTCTTGCAGAAGTGTTCTTTGGAGGTGTCGTTGCTTATCAGAGTCTTATTTTCCAGCCTGCTGGAAAGCATCATCTGTTATCCCTATTTTTAAAAATTCTGGAGAGCGATCCGATTCGTCTAACTACCGTCCCATTAGTCTTCTTCCTATAATAAGCAAGGTTTTTGAATCTTTAATTAACAAACACTTAATCTCTTATCTCGAATCTCATAACCTACTTTCTGATCATCAATATGGATTTCGATCCTCTCGTTCTACGGCTGATTTGCTATCAGTAATTACCGATAGGTTTTATCGCGCATTAGATAAAGGTGGAGAGGTTAAGGCCATTGCTCTTGACATTTCTAAAGCGTTTGATAAAGTTTGGCATGCTGGTCTTCTCCATAAGCTTTCTTCTTACGATGTATCTGGAAACACCTTAAAGATTGTTGAATCGTTCCTTTCCAATCGTAGTATAAAAGTTGTCCTCGATGGACAGCACTCTTCTTCATATTCTGTAACCTCAGGGGTTCCTCAAGGTTTAATCCTTGGCCCTATACTTTTTTTAATTTACATTAACGATCTTCCAGATATTCTCACATCTATGGTGGCATTGTTCGCTGATGATACTACCATTTATTCTTGTCACGATAAGAAGCCAACTCCCTCTGATTGCTTGCAGGGGGCATCTGAGCTTGAAAAGGATCTCACTTCTGCTACAGCATGGGGCTCACAGTGGCTGGTGAACTTTAATTCAGATAAAGCTCAATTTTTTTCAGCCAATCGTTATCGCAATAATTTAGACCTTCCTATATTTATAAACGGTAATGTACTCGATGAGTCTCCTACCTTTCATCTTCTAGGATTAACTCTTACTTCTGATCTTTCTTGGAAACCTTATATCAAATCCATTGCAAAATTAGCTAAAGTTGCTTCTCTTTATCGAGCTCGACACTTTCTTACTCTGGATTCTATTCTCTATCTCTACAAATCTCAAATCCGGCCTTGTATGGAATACTGTTGCCATATCTAGGGCAGATCTTCTAATGATATCTTTTCTCTTTTAGACAAGGTGAAAAAATGCATTGTAAACAAAGTTGGACCTGTTTTTGCAGTCAACCTTCAACCTCTCTCACATCATCGTAATGTTGCTTCTCTTTCTCTTTTCTACAAATACTATAATGGGCACTGTTCTAAAGAGCTTGCGTCTCTTGTGCCATCTACTAAAATTCATTCTCGTGTTACTCGTCATTCAATTAAGTCTCATCCTTTTTCTGTTCCTGTTCCTAAGTGCTCCAAAAAATCTTACTCGTCTAGTTTTTTTCCTCGAACATCAGTTCTTTGGAATTCGTATCTTTCATCTTGCTTTCCTGATTCATATAATTTGCAATCTTTTAAGTTGTCTGTCAATCGTTATCTTGCTCTACAATCTTCATCTTTTCTCTTCCAGTAACTTCCAACACTAGGTAGTGGTTGCTTGCAGCCTTGTTGGAAGCGAAGATGTTTAAAATATATATATATATATATATATATATATATGTATATATATATATATATATATATATATATATATATATAATGATATGTATGTGTGTGTGTGTATATATATATATATATATATATATATATATATATATATATATATATATATATATATATATATATATATATATATATATATATATATATATATACACACATATAGGGTTTGTGATAAAGAAAATCGTCCAGAGTGTAAAATTGTAATATGTTTTGCTCTATGAAGCCAAAAAGACGTTTCTCCACATTTCATAAATGTTAGGTAAAAGTAAAAAGCGCACCTGCCTAAAATTTTTTTTTTGTTTAACAGTTTATATGTCTTTTTGGCTTTGTAAATATGTGCAATACCCTTCATATTACATAATGATACCAATAACTTGTTTTTGTGAAAAAATTGACGTATGTGTTTTTGGTTAAGTAGGGCTGACAGCACTGCCCTACTTAGCCAAAAAGACATACGTCTTAAGCGTAATTATCTGCACTTGAAAAAATTTCCGTG